AATTTTGATTTTCCAAGATGTTTTAATTTCATGTTAGACATCTGAAAACTTTCTCATTCAACTCAAGAAAAAAATAGTAATGGAAACAAATTTTTTGGATTCATGTGCACTTTGAAAGAAAACAATTCATGTTGGTAATTGTAGACGGTGAGTTCTGAAGCCAAGAAATCGGATTAGGTGGGCTACCAGCAATCCTGTGGAACTGAAGAAAAATAGAACAAAGGAAAATGACCGTAAAAAGATCTTAAAAAGACAACGGTGTGGTGTCGGCCGAAGACCCTCCAACGATCAAGTCAGTAAATCTTGTTGAAAGTTTGATAAATGCCATGTGGAAGAAAGAAGAAATGAATTAGAGTCTAGTGGATTCTGATACCTGAATGCTTGACCGACTACTGAATTTATAGGAGTAGGATAATCGTTTAGGGAGGGATTGGCGAGGATTCTCCGAGATTTCGTGGTTGGTTGGAGCCAAATCTAATCCGATCTATTCAGTTGAGATATCATATTCGTTTGTAGAAAACTCTCACCAGATCTTAATAGATCGTAACATGATCTATCTGGAATATAGATTATCGGAGATTTCGAATTGACATGTAGGTCATGGATTGTGTATTCAGGTTGATTGTTATAATGAGTTGGGCTGATGATGACGCGGTTGAATCGTATGTGGACCCTGGTCTATATTTGGGTCACTTGGACTAGTAAATTAATTTTTACCACTACAATTTGTCCCCTACTCTTTTATACGAGTTCTACTTGAATGGAAGAGTAATTCGGGTTCAGGGATGATCGGATCCTTGGTTGAGAGCGAATTCGGATCGTAGGGCGGATCATTCGATTACATGGTGATGTGTGAGAATCATCTAGTCGTTTAAAAATATCATGGAGATTTCTAGTCACTTGTCCAACCGTGTAATTTTTTAGGTTGCAAGACGGATATTTGTCTTGTTTAGCATGATTCAATAGCTCTCATTTGGCTCGGAGGCCAAGCGATAATTTTTTCTAAAAATTTATTGAATGGCCCATGTGATGAACATCAATAATTTATATAATAATATTATATATATATAATGAAATATTACAATGTTCGCACAGCTCGAAAACCGTGTGAAATGGTAAAGATCACCACACGGCTTCCGAGCTGTGTGGTAAGATCCATTTAGTGGCATGCATGCCACGTGTTGCATGCATGCAACAACTTGTGCCCATGGGCACAAGTTATACACCACTCAGCAAAATGTCGAGTGGTGTTGTAAATTTTTTTGTTGCATGCATGCAACAACTTGTACCCATGGGCATAAGTTATATACCACTCGGCATTTTTCCGAGTGGTGTTGTAAATTTTTTTTCAATCCGTCTAGGCCATGCGGTATGTACCCCTTGATTTTCTAGTTAGATTGATCAGTGCATCCATTCGAAAAAGAAGATCGTCAATTCGTCTAGATCATGTCATACGCATCGCTTGTTTTTCCATTCCAAGTGGTGAATATATTCACATGAAAGAAAAATGTAGTCGATCTATCTAGACCATGTCATATTAGCAGCTTGGTTTACTAGCCCAAAAGATCAACGTGCCCATTGGGAAGAAAATTATTTATCTGGCTAGATAGTACAATGCGTCCTAATGACAAATTAGTCGGAAGGCCTCATGTTCATTTGCAAGGTTCAGCGAGCATATTCTGTCAATGGTTCTGATCGCATTTATGAACTCGTTTACTCATCTCATTTAGAGTGTCAATTTCTATAATTTAAGGCCTCATGTCCTCATTGTTCAAATGACTTGAGCTCTCTTCAAGAAGCTTTTGAGATCCTGGTAAGTTTTCCTTTTCTATTCTTCAAGTTCTTGTTTTGTTTTTGAATGTTCTTTGAGCGTTCTTCAATCATTTTTCCAAGTTCTTTGTTGGTTGAATATGTTTTGATTTGGTGTTTCTAGATTTTGATCCGTTGCGAAGTGAAGTTGTTAGTGAATAGTCGTTTTTGATGAACAATGGATTGGAGTGATTTTTCTGACGCTCCGTACGAAATTCTGGCTGAAGCATGGCCGACTGATGATATAAATAAGTCTGACAATTGGGGTGAAAACTCGTGGTTGGACGATTATGTGGGTCCGGATTGTCCAGACGAGCCACCATTGGTGGGGTTTGTATGCGATCCAGGGATTCATTCCTCTCATGAGATTGTTCTAGAGAGCATTGTTATCAGTCGTGGTCCGTCCGATCCAAGTCGTGATGATGACCAGCCTAGATATGATTCGTACGAGCAGAGCTATCCAAGTGGTAGTAATATCGTGTTTAATAAGAACATATTGAGCAAGCTGAACGAAAATGACTTGGTAAGAATCCGAGATGCCTATGATATTCCTGCATTAGTTAAACTTCATCTACCACGACCACACGAAAGGGTTTCGTGGAATGTCCCAGGTTGGGTTTTTTTCTATGAGTTGCCATTTAAAGACGGCTTTCGATTTTTGATTCTCCACGCGGTCACGATGGTATTAGAGTATTTCGAGATTGCACCCAGCCAACTTATACCTAACTCTTGGAGATTGCTTTTAGCACTTCAGGTCTTAACCGAGTGGCATGATATCTCGTTCAGCATGCCAGAGCTACTTTATCAGGGAACACGATGGTAAGAAGGGTGTTTTTCCTTAAGTGCAAGGAAAAATGTTGATCGATTGATAGTTGGCCTTTCTTCTAGGGATAAGGGCTAGAAATGGTCTTATTTCCTCTCATTAGGTGACTTGGTTTGGTTGGAGAGTTACCATTTCCCTTCGGCATGGTCCCGCGGTAAGTTTTGCAGACCGTTTACTTTCAATACACTTTACTGATTTCAGGTTTTTATTTTATTTTCTTGCAGGTCTTCGTATCAACACGTGGCCAGTCGAAGGATTGTTCGTAAGGAAGTGCATTTCCAAGATCTTAGCGATACCAAAGAGTCGGAGGGATTGCTAACTCCTTTTACCTCCAAAAGTCCTTTCTTCAAGCAGCTTGTGGGAGCACATTTCGATCGAACCAAGAGGTGTTCTTTCCAATTTTTCGAGATATAAGATCCCTATTGTAATGACAAAGAGAGGTATGGAAATTCTTGACAGTAACCTTCATATGATTGGCCCACTTAACTTAACCGATCGTGAGATTGCAGATCGAATTATGTCAACAGTGGTAGGATCTTTGCTCGATGCTTTGGAAAGGAGAAAGGCGAAGGAGAAGTCTAAAAAGGTTTCTCTTTACATAGTATTAGCTGACACCCCAATTCCGTCCGATGGTCTTTCCAGCTAGACGGAGCCGCCTGATGCTCTTTCCCCGTCTATCCGAAAACGCGATCGACTGGGGCCATTGTCGTTAGACGAAGACTCGATACTGCTTACCTTCCCATCAGTCTCTTCTGCCTTTTCTAACCCTGGGGTGGCGACACTTGGCAAGGGACTTTTATTTCCTAAAGATCGAGTGCGCTATGAACAACTTGGTCCAGTTAAGGTAGCTGAAAACACGATGGCTTAGGCATTCCAGGTATGATATTTTTAGATACTTCTTTATAGATAACCCAGTTGGCTGACATGAACTTACTCCATTGATTCCAGGTACTGCAAGGGGCCATTTTTTGGAAGAACGAAGCCATTAGGCAGGCTAGAAAGGTACGCTCATTGCAGGATGTGAATACTTCATTGCGTGGGGAAAATGAAAGTTTGAGGACAGAGAAGCAAGATGCTGATTTGGCCACTAGCAAGGCGCTGGATGAGCTAGCCGAGGTGGTTCGCGAGAAGCTTGCATTGGAGTAGGAACTTGCAAACTAGAAGAAATCTTCAGGGGATCAGATCACTTCTCTGGAAGACCGTTTGGAGAACTGTCAGTTGGAAATTGAGATAGCCACTTGGGCCTTTCTTTTGAATGATTATAAGAAAGGAAGGCACGTTAACTGGGACGTAGATAAAGCTATTGCCAATTATGCGGAGTTGTGCCAATTGCTTGGTATGTCGAATACTTTGGAGGAGTAGCCCGAAGTTGGGGCTTCATCCAGCGATGGAACCGGGAATACTGATGATGGGCAAGTTTAGGTGCCTTTGGAAGCAAATTTTCCAAGTGTGCATTTCGGTCATATTTTCTTTCAAGCTTATGTATTAGTATTTGTGCGAGTCATGTTTGAACTCTTGTCTTTCCAAACTATATAATTTGTAGACTTATTGGAGTTATGCGCCTAATTGCAAAAAACTCGTGAAGTATTGAACGTAGAATTTTATTTGTAATAGAAGTGTGACCATAATATTGGCACAGAAATCGGACTTGTTTTCTCATCATAAAAATAAAGTAGACTCATCAAAGTACTTTTACAAAGGATTGGATCAGACCAGTCCGTCTGATTTAGTAGGTAATTTTATTAACTGCTCTGGAGACAGTTGAGTCTTTGTTTGGATCGGCCTCATGGTTAGGGTAATGCTACCACTATCTAGCAATTGTGTGTTCTTCTTCGTTCGGACGGCTTGAAGGCAACTGTGTGGTCTTTTTCATCCAAATGACTTGATGCAATTTATATGCTTATTTCTCTTGACTCAAAAATAGCTTTTGACACCTGCATGGGATTTTCTTTCCAAAATTCAAGAATTCCCAAATCATTGGTGATGAGAAAAGTTTGACATCCCATACATTTCTCCCTTTGGTGAATCTCATGGGAGTAAAGAGGGTTAGGTCCACCGATGGCATTTTTGCCATCGGCTCTTCGATGCTTAAGTCAGTACGAATTTTGAATGAAGATAAAAATGCCAAATAAAAAAGAAGAGTTTAGAAGACTTAGGAATAATATTTGTGGGGGTGGATGGCGCTCCAGCTTGACATTTTCTCGTCGATCCTCCTAAAAGCAAAGAAGGTTAGGATTGCGGATGGAATTTCTACCATCGGCTCTTCAATGCTTAAGTCAGTATGGATTCCAAATGAAAATTAAAATGCCAAATAAAAAAGAAGAGTTTAGAAGGCTTAAAAATAATATTTACGAAGGTGGATGGCGTTTCAGCTGTTGGTGATATCTCTACAGTCTTGGGTGCATAGCTTATAAGCTCCTTGCCCAACGACCTTTGTGATCAGGTATGATCCTTCCCAATTTGCTGCAAGCTTTCCGGCACCAGCTTCCTTGGCGTTTTGAAATACTCTTTGCAGCATCCATTCGCCTTCTTTGAAGGTTCTAGCTCTCACCTGCCTGTTGAAATGTTGGGCGATTTTTCATTGATAAGCAACCGTATGAATCAAAGTTCTTTCTCTTCGTTCATCCGCCAAATCTAACTCATGGCACAACTCGACTTGATTCTGCTCATCAGTTGTCCATTCATACCGAAATGTTGGAGTGCCTATTTCTACTGGTATGATCGCTTCCATGTTGTAAGCTAACGAGAAAGGCGTTTCACCAGTGGATGTTCGAACAGTGGTGCGATATGACCAAAGGACACCAGGCAACTTGTCTGTTCATTTTCCTTTAGCATCAGATAGTCTTTTCTTTAATGTGTTCATGACAGTCTTATTGGAAAATTCAGCCTAACCATTGGCTTGGGGATATCGCGGAGTGGAGAAGTTTAGCTTGATGTTCCACTATTTACAAAAATTTTGAAACCCGGTGCTTATAAACTGTGTCCCATTGTCCGTAACTATTTCCTTTGGGACTCTAAACCTGCATATTACATTTTTTCAGATAAATTGGATAACTTCACGATCATGTACCTTTGAGAGTGCCTCAGCTTCAATCCATTTCGTGAAATAGTCTGTGACTGCTAGCATGAAAACTCGTTGTCCTGGAGCAGCGGAGAGTTTTCCAATATGTCCATCCCCCATTTCATGAACGACCAAGGTGAAAGAATGGGGTTGAGCCGTTCTGGTGGAAGGTGGGAGACATTGGCAAATCGTTGGCATCTGTCACATTTTTTAATGTGATTAACAGAGTCGGTCCCCATGGTTGGCCAATAGTACCCCGCGGTTAGTGCACAATACGCCAGGCTCCGGGCTCCCGAGTGATTATCACACTCCCCTTCATGAAGTTCAGCCAAGACATATTCGACCTCTGCGTTGCTGATGCATCGGAGATAGGGTCTAGAGAATGATCTTTTATACAACTTATGTCTATAATGCAAAATCTCGCAGCCTTAGCTTTAGTTCGTCGAGCTTCATTCTTATCTGCTGGCAACTCATCAATTTGGAGGTACCTGATGATCGGTGTCATCCAGGACTATTTCTCGAATGAATGAATACTATTATTCTCGTCGGATTTTCAAACTGTTGGCCATTGCAAGTAAACTACCGGGATTACCTTACTTTGTTTCATATTCATAGTTGCTCCGAGGCTGGCTAGTGCGTCTGCTTGGATGTTTTCAGTTCGTGGGACTTGAGTGATATGGAACTCATCAAACTCTTTGCAGAGCCGCTTGGCCAACTCTAGGTAGGATGTCATCTTTATGTCTTTGGCAAGGAAGGTGCCCTGTACTTGGTTTACAATAAGCTGAAAATGACTGTAGATGTCTATTCGGGTGATTTCGATCTCTTTTGCTAAGACTAGTCCAACAATAAGTGCTTCGTAATCTACCTCATTGTTGGTTGCCTTGAATTCACACCTAATTGCCTGTTCTATTTGATCTCCTTCCGGTGATGTTAAGACAATGCTAAGTCCTGTACCATTGATGTTGCTCGACCCGTCTACCTGGAGCGTCCATATGCCTGTTTCCTGTCCATTTGTCAAGCAGAGAAGTTCTCTTTGGGCCAAAACATGTGAGTTAGGTGCAAAATCAGCGATGAAACCCGTGAGTACCTGAGATTTGATGGCAGTGCGGGGTATAAAGGAAATATCATATTCAGTTAATTCGACGACCCATTTGGTTAGTCATCCGGACAACTCGGGTTTATGGAGTATTTGTTTTAGTAGAAACGATGTCACGACTACTATTGAATGGCTCTGGAAGTACGGTCTTAGCTTTCGAGCTGCACTAACAAGTGACAAAGCTAATTTCTCCAGTTGGCTATAGCGGGTTTCTGCATCCAGCAATGCCTTGCTAACATAGTAGATTGGGAGTTGCTTTCCATGTTCTTCACAGACCAAGACTGCGCTGACCGTCATCTCCGAAACTGCCAAGTACATGTATAGTTGTTTCCGTCTTTCGATTTCGATAGGAGTGGTGGTGATGTCAGATGTTGTTTGAGTTTCTGAAGCACTTCTTCGCATGTCGAGGTCCATTTGAAAGTTTTATTTTTCCTTAATATGTTATAGAACTTTTGACATTTCTTTGAAGATTGGGAGATGAACCTGTTAAGAGTTGCAAGCCTTCCAGTAAGCCTTTGAACTTCCTTGATACAAGTTGGAGATGGAATGTTAATGATTGATTGGATTTGGTCCGAATTTGCTTCGATTTCCCGTTGTGTTACTAAGTAACCCAGAAACTTGCCAGAGGATACTCTGAATGAACACTTGGACGGATTAAGCTTCATGTTGTATTTCTTTAGAACCTCGAAAGACTGCTTAAGGTGGTCTATTTGTTGCTTTGCAATCAAAGACTTCACCAGCATATCGTCAATGTAGACTTCCATGGATTTTTTGAGTTGCTCAGCGAACATACGATTTACTAGTCGTTGATATGTTGCTCCCGCGTTTTTTAGTCCGAATGGCATAACCTTGTAACAGAACGTGTCTCGCTCTGTCATGAAAGTGATTTTCTCTTGGTCAGCTGGGTGCATCAATATCTATTTGTACCCGAAGAAAGCATCCATAAAGCTTAGAAGCTCATATCCAGCTGTCGAATCGACCATCATGTCTATATGTGGAAGAGGGAAGCTATCCTTCGGACATGCCTTATTTAGGTCTATAAAATCGATGCAAGCTCTCCACTTATCGTTCTTCTTTTTCACCACGACGACATTTGCCAATCTGGGTAGTTGACTTCTCGTATGGAACCTGCTTCCAAAAGCTTTTGGACCTCTTCATTAATGATTCGGGCGCGAATCTTCTTCGCTTTTGTTTGATCGAAATGTAATGGGGATCAACATTCTATTTGTGCGTTATTACCTCCGGGTCAACACCAGTTATGTCAGTATAGGACCAAGTGAAACAGTTATGGTGTTCCATGAGGAACTTGATCAGGCATTTCCTGAGCTCTGGTTCTAACCTTGCTCTGACTCGAGTTTTGTGATCTGGGAAGTCGGGGTGGATCTGTATTTCGTCTAGTTCTTCCACATCTGGTTGATTTGGGATGGTGGGCTGGGATTGCTATAAAGGAGATCGGTCAGAGTGGAGTGAATTTTAGTAACACTCCCTAGAATCCCTTTGGTCGCCAAGAATTTCTCTTATTCCCCATTTGATTGGGAAACGGAGTACCTGATGAAACGTTGATCGTCCGGCATGTAATGTTATCTTCTGGAATTCCCATTGCCTTAACGGTCTCCAGGAAAAGTACGTTTGCACTACTGCTGTTGTCTATCAAAATGCACTTGACTAAGCAGTTGACGATGTTCGAAGATATGACCAAAGCATCATGGTGCGGATTGAGTAGCTGCGTAGCCTCAGATGTCGTAAAGCTAATGATCTGTGGTGTGTCTGATTGTCTTATTTGGCTTAGATTTTGACAGAAGTGAGTTGCTCGACGCGCGTGCATTCGTGTCGCTGCCCTTGTTATTCCACTAACTTCCGATCCGCCAATGATGAAGTTAATGGTTCAATCTTGTGTTGGTGCGGCCACTGGTTCGGAGCTTTGCTTACCGTGCTATTGTTGTTGTTGTCTTGCGACGTTCTCCTTTCCTTTATTGGTTAGAAGGTCTGTAAGACATCCCTACTTCAATAATTTAGCTACTCCCACCCTCAAAGCAATACAATCATCTGTGCGGTGGCCATGGTTGGCGTGAAACTCACACCATTTACTTTTATCTCGCTGGTCACTAGAGCTTCTCATCTTTCCGGGCTAATTCACTGTGCTGCCCATTCCCTTCAATATTGCAATTAGTTTTATTGGCCTGATAGAGAGGTTGTATTCGGGGACCCTAATCTTCGTTCTTGCAGAAGGTTGTTCAATTAGTCTGGGCAGTTCCCTACGCTTGTATCTTTCCTGTCCGGAAGGAAGTAGGTATCGAAGGGTCGTTTCTCGACCCTGTTTGGTCGTTGCGGCTCTTCTCGATTGAGTTGACGTCTGGTAAAATTAAAATTAGCATCATCATCTTCCCATTTAATATGTGCCCAAGCTTTGGCCAAGACGTCCTCCATTGTGCTGCATGGGTATTTGGTGAGTTCCTTTTACAAATCAGTGTCTGGGAAGAGGCCCTTTCGAAAAGCTGAAATGGCAGTTTGTTGGTTGCAGCTAGGGATGGAAACTTTCTCCCGGTTGAATCGTCCGATAAATTTCCGCAGTGACTCATTTCCTCTCTGCACTATGTGATGAGGTCATCGGATCGCTTCTCAAGTTTTGTGATACTTGCAAACTGTTCACCAAAAGTATCAGTTAGTTTGGCGAACGATGATATAGAATTATTTGGAAGATTGGTATACCACTGTAGGGCCTGCCCCACTAGATTAGAGCCGAACCATTTACACATGCAAGCTTCTCGAAGGTCTCTTGGTATAGCGACAGTAAACATTCTCTATCTATATTGAGCTATATGATCGTCTGGGTTGGCTGTCCCATCGTATAACTTTATATTAAGGAAGCTAAATTTTTTGGGCATTTCCATCAGGGCAATTTCGCTAACAAAGGGATAGTCGGCGAAACAACTAGCTGCACTTTTCTTGATAGGCGCTGGCATCCATGGGATACGTTGAACCATGGCTTCGATCGCTGCTAATTTTCGTACGAATTTGGGTCTTGTCCACTAGTAGGCTTTGGTTGCGCGTCTTCTGATCCTCTGTTAAGCGGTGCAACAAATTGGACATTCGAACCAATGGTTCTAAGTCCATTTTGGTCAAGTGAAGGAGTCGGCTGTGATGGGCGTGGCAATGTTGAATCGGATACCGAGGATTCTATTCTTTCTTGAAGCTCGCGATTCTCCACATAGATGACAGCATTCTCCGCTTCTAGCCTTTCGGGATTTTGTGAATTCTGTTTTGTCAACTCGATGAGTCGGGCTAGCTGTGCAGTGACTTCACAAGACGGAGTGGTAGGTTGAGGATGTGTAGAGGCAGGATGGACAGTACTCTGCCGTTCAGCTACTGGCTGGATCGAATGGATCGGCTGGATGGTCGTTGGCTGGTTCGGACAAGCCAACGTTGGGGTGGTAGGTAGAGCGGCAGCATGACCTAAGCCGTCTCCTAGTCGCATTGTTGCTTCCACCTCCTAACGAATCATTGGTTCAGCTTCTTGACGAGCTAATTCTTTCGAAGTATGATCAGTGAAGCCGTCTGTACGATGGGTTTCAGAAGTTCCTGACATGGCAATGATGATTGTCGAATAGTATGATGAGAGTCCCGTTTGTAGGAATGATTGCTAGGGCCCCACGGTGGGCGCCAAATTGTAGACGGTAGGTTCTGCAGCCAAGAAATCGAATCAAGTGGGCCACTAGTAATCCTGTGGAGCTCAAGAAAAATAGAACAAAGGAAAATGATCGTAAAAAGATCTTAAAAAGACACCGGTGTGGTGTCGGCAGAAGACTCTCCGACGGTCAAGTCAGTAAATCTTATTGAAAGTTTGATAAATGTCAGATGGAAGAAAGAAGAAATGAATTAGAGTCTAGGGGGACTCTGATACCTGAATGCTTGATCGACTGCTGAATTTATAGGAGTGGGATAACCGTCTAGGAGGGATTGGCGGGGATTCTCTAAGATTTCGTGGTTGGTTGGAACCAAATCTAATCCGATCTGTTCAATTGAAATATCAGATCCGTTTGTAGATAACTCTCACCAGATCTGGATAGATCGTAACGTGATCTATCTGAAGTAGATTATCGGAGATTTCGAATTGACATATAGGTCATGGATTGTGTATTCGAGTCGATTGTTATAATGCGGTGGGCCGATGATGGCGAGGTTGAATCGTATTTGGACCCTGTTCTATGTTTGGGCCACTTGGACTAATAAATTAATTTTTACCACTACAGTAATTAAATATTCAAGTATTATGATTGAGCTTATTGTAACCAAAAATACCCAAGAAAGGGGATTATTCAAGAAATGGGTTACGATCCTACTACAACAAAAGTAAGAACTGAATCGAAAACACACTCATTCAGAAGAGCAAATTGAATTGGAACCGAAACTCGAGGAAAATAGTTTTATGTTAATTGATAAAGAATAAATTTACTATATCTAATAATTTCAATAAGGGAATTTCATGTAATTAGATATATCCTTTCTATTTTAACTCTCCAGGAGAAATCCGATTAAATTTTTTTTATTTTTTTGTTTTATTACTTTTATACATTCATTTTACCTTATAATCTATCTATAGAAAATTAACTTTGACATGATAAGGAACAAAAATATTAGACACATGCAATATTCTTGCCAAACACATTTTGCAGTTTATTTCTTTTTCCTTTTAATTTTTATTTGTTTGTTCCTTATTTATAAGTTTTCTCATGTAAATGTATTCATACTCTTATGATGGATCATGTTGATTGAAAAATAAAATATACACACTTTTTCATGGAACAATGGGAAATGCTAAAAAACCAATCATTATGTCATTATTCCCCATCACATTATCTTGATTATGTAAAAATTTCAATCTGCTTTAAAAAAAAAAAAAAAAAAAGGTTGAACCCCAATTTTAAGGGTCCCCCACCGCCCCTGTCCTGGAGTATCGTGAGGGAGGTAAATCGCAGGTTATGCCTCCAAGGGTACAGGGTGGAAGGTTGCTTGTACACTTGCACTTACTCAAGAGCCAAATCCATATTTCAGGATTTGAACCCTTAATGCAGCAGCCTCAAACAAACCTGGATTTCTCCACCCTCCCCTTTTACCATTTGGAGATATACCCTGGGGGCCAATCTGCTTTAATATATATATTTGTGTGTGTGTGTGTGTGACTATTTAACATCACCTTATCTAGAATTTTTATTATACATCAGAAAATAAATTTTGAGACTCGAATGTCAAAAAATTTAGATTGAAGATCCAATAGCTTTAAATTATGTAGTTTGAGGACTCTGTATACAAATTTTTCTACCCATATCCATACAAAATCGAAACATGGCCTGGTATTAAAATTTAATTTTTCATGTAGTGATAAAGTCATGCAAGACATTTGGAAATTTCCTCATTGAAATCAAGAAAAATACAATAATAAAAATCAAGAAAAGTGATTATTTATCTTATTGTACACGAAAATGCTAAACTAAAGTGATTATTTAAAATTGGTTTACGATCCTACTGCACCACAAGCAAGAACGGAACCGATAAGTATATTAAGACGAAAGTGTAGATGGAATTGGAACTAGACCTTGAGAAAGATATATTCTATGGGCCTGTTTGGAAGTGATTTTTTCATCCAAAAAATTGATTTTTTGACCGTTATTTTACTATTTCAGTCATTATATTTGACTTCTTCTCTCATAGGTGGACCCTACTTTTCTCTTAAATGTCAAAAAATCAATTCTCAAAATCACTCCCAAACAAACTCTATATTTAGTGACATGCAGTAATGTTTTACTATTTCTAATAGTTTCAATAAGGATGCATGTAACAAATTATATGCTCGATATTTTGACTTCGTAGGAAAAATATGATTTAACTTAATTTAAATTTTATGAATTCATCTTACCTTCTAATCTATTCATAGATAATAAACTTTGACATTATAAAGCAAAATATTAGAAACGTGCAACATTCGTGCCAAATGCTTGTTGGAGTTATTTCTTTTTCGTTTTTCTATTTATTTATCTTTTCCTTATCTATAAATTTTACATGTAAATGTATTTATAGATTGTACTCTTAGGATGAATAATGTCGACTGAGAAATAAATCAACGTTTCATTGGAACCAATAAGAAATGCTAAAAATAAGAATTATGTCATCTTTCCACATTATCTTAACTTTATTTCATAAATATTTCACTCTGTTATAATGTATTTATTTTTTGGAGTAAATTCCTGCTGTGGTGGATTTCTTCTTCTTCCTCAATTTTTTTTTTTTTTTTTTTTTATGGCAAGAAATACAGTTACGTTTTTTAGTTTTTTAATGTTGTTTCTTCTTTTCTCTGTATCATGTAGTTTGAGGACTCTCTGGCTACAAATGTCCCTATCGATTTTTATACCACATCCAAAAAGGATGATACTACACGTAGATCAAGATGTCCACCTCATCATATAGAGGAGGGCCCACTTAAAATAAAATATAATTTATTCGAAATGTTTCCCTTCCATGTGAGGGGAGTAGACACCGCATTATGTAAATATTCCATCCAAAAAGGCCTTTGCTATCAAGTTTTAAAGTTTTTTACTATTTTTAATAGTTTAAAGGAATTGCCTATAATTAAGTATATGCTTTAATTTTGACTCTCTAGGAGAAATCTGATTTAACTTTATTTTAGTTTGATGCATTCATCTTACCTTGTAAGTTATTTACAAATAATAAACTTTTACATTACAAAGGGAAAAGATGTTATACGCGTGCAAAATTTGTGCCAAAGACGTGTTGGAGTTATTTCTTTTTCATCACTTCATTTGTTTATTC